CGTCGGTCAATGCCCACTCTTCCCGGAGCCACGCCGTGCTCCAGATCATCCTCAAGTCCCGAGGGGCCCTGCACGGCAAGTTTTCTCTCGTCGACTTGGCTGGGAACGAAAGGGGAGCCGACACTGCCAAGGCCAACAGGAAGAGGCAGCTGGAAGGGGCGGACATTAACAAGAGTCTCCTGGCGCTCAAGGAGTGCATCCGGGCTCTGGGGCAGAACAAGGCTCACACCCCATTCCGAGCCAGCAAACTCACCCAGGTGCTCCGCGACTCCTTTATCGGGCAGAACTCCTCCACGTGCATGATCGCTACCATCTCTCCAGGGATGTCCTCCTGCGAAAACACCCTCAACACTTTAAGATACGCAAATCGAGTGAAAGAATTGACTCTAGATTTCAGGCCCCCCCAGAGCTGTCTGTCTCGGGTTGGACATGAGGTGCCCAGGATGTTGGAGAATCACATCAGAAATCCAGAAATGTCCCTCCAGAGGGAGGAACTTATGAAAACACCACCACCTATGCAGACTGAGGAGGAGGAAGAGACTAGAGAAATGGAAACTTTCTCCACTCCATTGATGGAGAAAAGCATGACTTCATGGAAGGAACCCAGCCAATGGCCAGGGAACAACATCGAGGAGACAGCCGACGGGGGAAACTATGATGTTCATTTTTGCATTGTCCAGTTGTTGTCCACTTTGGAGCAGAAAATAGGTATTCTGACTGGAATTCAAAAGAAACTGAAATTATTGCGCGCTGACCTCCAACAGAAGAGAAAGGTAGAGTGAAGCCTATGGCATCAGATCAGATCTGAAATCATGGGTACGGTGCTGTGGTTGCTACCTTTCTTATAAATAAAAAAATTGCCTAAATCATCTAGATATAAAGCAAGCTGAAATCTTCCTCTATATTTCTATAGTTTGTTACCATGCTGTATGTAGGGCAGTGGTTGTCAACTGGGAAACATTTTGCCTCCTGGGGACTTTTGGCAATGTCTGAAAACATTTTCAGGTGCCAAAACTGCGTGTGAAGGGAGTGGTGATACTGGTATATAGTATAGTGGGCACAGGGCCAAGGATGCTGTTCAGCATCCTATAATGAACCAGACATCCTCCAGCAACAAATAGTCATCTGGTTAAAAACTTCAATAGTTCGTAAGAAACCCTACCATGAAAGACCTAGCTCTGAGCAGGGCAGCCACGCCAGATTTGTGACTAGGAAGACAAAGTACTGTAGATTCCAGGGGTGAGACTCGGAATACACCAAGGGGGGCACAATGCAGTGTATCTAAGGATAACACTTGGGAGGAACTTTTGTTCAGAGGTTCTGTGTAAGACCCTGGAATTGAGAGGGATGTTTATTTTTCATTTTGCTTTGAAATGGAAAAGTACTGTACATCCTTAGAGTGATAAAATGTGTGTGTGTGTGTGTGTGTGTGTGTGTGTGTGTGTGTGTCATAGGCATTGGCTTTGTTGGCTATGGTGTCTGCAAGCTTTTTTCCCACTATGCTCCTTACCAAATTATGTGTTTGCATGAGTCACATAAAAAGCCTTCGCCCATCACATTAATGTAGGGAACAGTCAGCAAAGCCATAGCAGAAGGTCTGACCTGAAGTGAAATACATCCTATAAGAGCCTCAGGGGGAATGTGAGAAATATCAGTGCCTGAGATCAATTCAATCAGGAGCATATTTCCTTGATTTAGGGATCACAGAGTCTATCCTTTCACAAACAAAAAGGATTAATCTGATATGTAAATATGATAACCTAATACACATCTACCTTAAGCAAACATCTTTATTTATAAAATGCCATAATAAAATAATGAAGGGTCGGTCTTTTGGTTCCAAGTCTAGCAGTTCCAAACCTTTTCAGAATAAAATGGAATGATTGGCAAACAAAGTGCAGGGCAGGTTGGGGAAATTTGGGGACATAGAAAACAGAATTCCAATACTGTTACTACCTTTGGTAGACATTGCCTATTATTTTTTCAATTTTTTTTTAAGTTGCAAAGGCCTCACTGACTTTGGGAATTCTGACACATAACTATCATGGAGTAAGTAGAATAGTAATGTCCGAGGCAAAAACTATCTGTGTAAAACAATCAGGATCATCAGGAACATTCGATCTTTAGTAACTAGCCAATATTATGGCCTCTAAATATTTTCCTCTGTTGTTTTATCTATGCAGGTGAAGTTATATATTATTATTATTATTATTATTAAAGCAAACAAAACTCTGAAAGTCTGTCCTTTAGCATGAGATGATCTTCCTTTCAAATTGAGATATTTTTTTATTTTTAAAATTAAATTTATTGGGGTGACATTCATTAATAGATCATCTAGACTTCCGTGTACATTTCTATGCTACATGATCTGTATATTGCATTGTGTGCCCACCACCCAAAGTCAAATCATCCTCTGTCCACCATATTTTTGACCCCCTTTACTATTCTCTACCCCATCCTCTGAGGTGTTTTTTTAATCTGTTATTTTTTATGCAATTAAAAAGTATGGGGTTACTAATCTTACCTAGGTTCCAGCCCCATTTCTATTATATAAATATCTAATTTTAGGCAAGTAACTAAGCCCCACTGAGCTCTTTCCTTCTATATGAACCACAATAATTATAGCATCTCCTTCAAAAGATTGGAAGGTCTATTTAGTTTCTCTCTCTCTCCCATCTGTTATGCCAGTGGCTAGTGCTTATTTATTATTTTTTTGTTATTGTCATTGTCCTGTTGTTCCACTACTACCTTCACCCCTGCCCTACTCTCTACCACCACTCCTGTTATACACACAAGTTTGTAGCTTATTAGGAGTTTCAATAATCTGATATTAATAACACCATTTTTTTGGTATTTCATTTTTAATAAAGTGTAGCATGCAGTGAAGTATACAAATCTTAACTATAATCATTCCATGAATGTTTGCATGAATGCACATCTGTAACCACCACATATATTAAGATATAGAACATAACCAGTGTCCCAGGAGCTGCATTCCTTCCTCATTTTACTCATCAGTCCCTGCATCACAGGTAAGGCCTATTCTAACTGATCCACAGTTCTGGTTACCCTTAATTTTTGAGGATAACATGTCTGACATCTTAATTGAAATGTTCCACCTTCAGAGGAACTTGCCTTCCCCAAACTATGAGCTTGCTAAATGATCTGCAAAGGTGTTTTTTTTAAATGTTTTTAAATTGATTTTGTAGAGTAAGAGGAAGGGATAGGGGGAGAAAAATAGAAGCATCGATTGGCTGCCTCCTGCATGGCCCCTATGGGGATAGAGCCCGCAACGTGGGCGAGTGCCCTGACTGGGAATCAAACCAGTGCCCTCTTGGTGCATGGTTCAGTGCCCAACCACTTAGCCACACCAGCCAGGCTATCTGGTAAGTTTGTAAGCTCTTTTCAATAGCTTTATGTTTTGGTTTTTTTCCCCCCTTTTAGAATATTGTTTAGCTTTAGAGTTAGCAAATGCTTAAAGAATAATTTGCACACAGAATGTATGTCTCACTTTTCTATGGTCCCCTTTTCTACAAAATCAGTCCTGTTGGCTAGTAGGCCTGGAACTTCAATGTGGGACTCCTATGAGACCATGTTCCTGAGAGACTCCACCAATATTTACTTGGCTACTGCTTTGTTTGGGCATATTGTTCACACACAAGAGTCAGCCTTGGGGGAAAAACAGGAGAGAATGCAATGACAGTGTCAAAGTAATTCTCTTTTTCTCTGCGATCTTTTTTTTTTTTTTAACAGCTTTTAGTATATTAACAGAGTTGTACACTCATCACCACAATCAATTTTAAAACATTTCATTACCCCAGAAAGAAACCCTACACCCTTTAGGCATTGTCTCTTAATCCCCTAGCACCCAACCCCAAGCAATCACTAATTCACTTTTTGTCGCTAAAGCTCTCTGCAATTTTGACCCTTTATATCCTGACTGCATTTTTGTTCTTTGGCACCTTCCTAAAGAGACGTATTACTTTCTAAAGAGGAGTATCTTACTAAGAAGTATATTTTTAGTAACATAGCTCATTACCCTATCTTGATAATAATGTATTTGTTGGCATAAATAACATAATGATTTATGTATTTCATACATGACTTTGGAGACAAACTATATATCAATAAAATTTCTTATAATATGTTCTCATCAATCTCACCCAAATTAAGGATATTTTTATTCTATGTTGAAATTTAACAAGTAAGGGAGAGCAGCATATCAACATAGGTAACTAATGGTACCCGTTGTTGGAAAGCCGAAATAGAGATGACAAGAGAATGTTGAATGCCACCTGGAGGGATATATGTTCTAAAATTTTTAGTGGGTTTTTATTTAGTTTTTGCTTGTCTGTTGCAGGTTTTGGAAATTGAGGAAAGTTATAAAAACGAACAGAAAGTCTTGAGAGGAATTTAACTCCAATTTTTCTCAATTCTTTCTTTGGAAAGGCTGTGCAAATAAAATTTGTTTATGTTTGTATGTGTATGTGTATATACACACACAATTTTACATACATAGTTATATGTTTTTCTTATGGATTCTGACATCCACATCTGCATAACACAATCTAAAATCTCCCCTTTAAAAAAAATGCTGGGTTGCTAACTAGTCTTAGTGTAATTGCTTCTATTGAGCTGTCATTCTTCCTTAACAAGTAGACGCGAATATTTCCACAGACGTTAATTTTTTTCTGAGAATATACATGGTACTTGAAATGATCTCAAAACACATAGCATTAAATTTAATAGGAACATTAAAAAATCAGGCATTATGTAAATGGAAATCTCAGAAAATAATTTAATTGGGGTCCACTAAAAGAGGGTTGTTGACAGTTCATGCAGATGCCCTGAAGTTTAAAAGGAAAATGTAAAGTAAATTAATGCTCTAACAAGATGATTCAGAAAATGCCAGAGCTTCTAAAATGAGAAAAATAAATACTTTCGGTACCTTGGAAACATTCATTTACACACAAAAAGTTGACATGAAAATTATACTCTATGCTTATCTGTTAATTAAAGCAGCTTTTCTCCATTTCTGTAGTGGACAAACTCATTTTGAATTGTTGCATGAACCTGCAATTAATAAAACTGCTTTTGAAATACTGAACTTAAGGTGTCATGATTTCAAATTATCCTTTCCACAATTAGTCTGTGACACTAAGGTTTTATACTATTATTCTATTACTTTCTTCAGTGAAATTATTCTCAACAGTATACATAATAAAACAGTATGAGAGTCCTAGATAAATATTTATGTGCTGGATAAAAGAATGAATAAATTATTTTTCTTTGCAATTTGATTACTGATTTAGAATATCCGTTTAATAGCAGAAACACAGTGTGTAGCATGTACTGTTTAAGAAAGATGTCCAGATTGCCTGTTATTAAAAGTGTAGAATATTATCTTCAAAGCAAACCTGTCATTTATTAAGTATTTGTACAATTCATTTTAGTCTTCAAAAGATCAACTGCTGATAGAAAACCTTAACACATCATTTTTCTGCAATGTGATTTTTTTTTCTATTCAAGGCATTTTCTTTCTAAGCTTAAATAAAAATAGTCTCAGAAATTAATAGAAAAAATATAGACAGGGGATTTTAATGGCTTAAAGAAGATATTGAACCAATCAATAATTGAAGATAAAAAGCTAGGCAGACCCAGACAGCCTCCTGTACTTGGGTATTTGAGGGGGTCATGAACTTGAGGAAAGCCAACTACCAATGATAAGTAGAATACAAAGGTTTGAATGGTAACAGAGGAAATAAATGAAATAATCAAGAAA